ATGTAACACCCCGTCACCCCCAAGGCTCCAGAATCAGTGAGCAGCTCTGATACAAGTGTGTGGTTGACTGCTGACACAGTGATTAATTCAATTTGCATTTGAATTAAAGAAAGGTGCAACAAAGAGATTATATAAAGCAGCTGATTCAGCTGGGACTCACTGGTGTTTATAGAAAGTTTTTAAACTTTGAGTCAGACGTAAAAAGTCGCACCCTTGGCTAAACGATACCCTCCAGTCTCTACGCACTAATATTAGAGCTGTGGAACAGAAATGGCACAAAACAAAAAGATCCTGCTGATCTATCGAAATTCCAGGCATTACTGTCCTCATTCTCTACCAGCATCACTGATGCAAAGAAAGCTTTCTACACAGACAAATTTATCAGCTTTACTGACACTCAGAAACTATTTTTGACTTTTAAAACTCTACTTAACCCTCTACCTCCACCACCTACTAAATCTACCTACAGACACCTTTGCCTCATTCTTCACTGAGAAAGGGGCAGCTATAAGCAAACTGTTTACTGAACTGGCCACTCCAGAACCTTCAATACTACCAACTATTTCTAGACTGACCATCAGAAGCCCTACTGCATCCTTTTCTTCATTTACCCCTCTCACTGAGAACTGTGTGTCCAAGCTTCTCGTGGGTAGCCGCTCTACTACATGCCCACTCGACTCCATTCCGAAAAAGCTGCTCCAATCTATTGCTCCTACAGTAGCTGCAGTAGTCACACATGTGATTAATGCTTCACTGACATCTGGTACATTTCCCACCTCTCTCAAGCATGCTCGGGTTAAACCGCTGCTAAAAAAAAATACACCTCTTCCTCCAAATCATGTGGAGAACTATCGGCCTATCTCTCTCCTCCCTTTTCTGTCTAAAATTATCGAAAGGGCGGCCTTCAAGCAGATCACAGGACACCTCTCACAAAACTGTCTGCTTGACCCTTACCAATCTGGGTTCAAAAATGGCCACTCCACTGAAACTGCTCTGTTAGCAGTGACAGAATCCTTAAAATAAGCTAGAGCGACTGCCAAATCCTCAGTACTTATCCTGCTTGATCTATCGGCTGCATTTGAAATTTTCAACCATGGCTTCCATTTGTCCATACTCTAGCAATGGCATCACAGGGAAAGTATACTCCTGGCTTGAATCGTACCTAACAGGATTAGGGTTGTCACGGTAACCGGTATAGCGGTAAACCCCGGTAAAAAAGTTGACAATAAAAATAACAATCCAGTTTTTAAAAAACTAAATTATCTCGGTGGGTTTACCGTGGCCGCGGTTTCAGCGCGGTGACCCTTACCAGCCACCGTCGCTTCAGCTGAAGTTCCCGCGGCGCGCACACGCACTTTTTAGTTTGCAACGGCACCAAAACTTTGAAGCTGAAATAATGGCCGAAGGAGGAGACGGCAGCGCCCAGGACATCCATCAGCCCTCAAAGAAGACTAAATCGGAAGTATGGGCATATTCTGGATTTCAGAAAAATGCTGAGGGACAGTTAATAGAAGACTGCTATCCCGTTTGCAGAACGTGCAGGAAACAAGTGTCTGCAAAAGGCAGCAATACTTCGAATCTAATGGCACATCTGCGTGACCATCACCCACGTCTCTACAGCCAGTGCAAGGTAAGTTAACATTAGCATTTTAGCTTAAACGTGAGGACGTGAGGACTTTTGGTTGAGGGAGAATGCAACGAGTCACTAAATACTGCAGCCGCAGCGTCCTCTGCCAGCATTTAAACCGTGTCACGGACACCCTGTTGCTGGATGAAGCATCTTATTTGTTGATGATGAAGAGAAATATACAATTAGTTCCTTGTCATTGATTTGTTTACTTATTCAATGCCATTTATACTTGAACATTTGGATTTGATTACATAGTGTAATAGTTATTTTAGTAATTTGTTTAAAGTGGCTATTTATTTTAAATACATATTTTTTTAAGGTTGACTTGTACAGCGCTCAAGTGTGGACTGGAGTTTTAGATTTTCATTTTGATAATGAAGAAAACAAGTATATGAGAAAACAAGTGGTGTTTCTTTGATTTGTTTACATATTGTTTATGTTTTGAATGTTTGGATTTGTATAATTTAAACCTGCACTGACTACTGCAACATGGTCCAGAAAAAGAAGCTATTTGTTCCTTTACTTGTGAAAAGTTGCACTTTTGCTAAGGCTTTGTGTTATTTTAGGTTTAATAAACACCGTTAAACCTTTTCAAAACTATTTCAGTTTGTGTAGAACAGGACTATCAATGCTTTCTGAACATATGCAACACCGTTTAAAAAATACCGCGATAATACCGAAAACCGTGATAATTTTGGTCACAATAACCGTGAGGTTAAATTTTCATACCGTGACAACCCTAAACAGGATGATATTTCAGTATATCTTGGCTCGGACAATCTTAAGCTGTTCACCACCTTGACACAGGAGTCCCCCAGGGCTCTGTACTAGGACCTCTTCTCTTTGCCATACACACCACCTCACTAGGTGAGATAATTCGATTGCATGGCTTCTCCTACCACTGCTATGACGATGACTTCCAGCTCTATCTGTCAATCCTGCCGGATGACCTCACAGTCTGTGCACGAATCTCGGACTCTCTTTCTGACATATCAAATTGGATGAAATCCCATCAACTCAACTTCTCAAAAACTGAATTACTTGTCATCCAAGTGAAACCATCCATTCGGCACAATATCTCAATCCAAAATGATTCCTTATCTCTGGCTTCTTCAAAGGCAGTTCAAAACTTAGGTGTTGTGATTGATGATCAGCTGACCTTGAAAGATCACGTTGCCTCTGTCGCTTATTCATGCCGCTTCACGCTGTAGAACATACAAAAGATCAGACCGTACCTAACACAATATGCCACCCAGCTCCGGGTGCAACCTACTGTCATCTACCTCCTCGATTACTGCAATGCCCTTCTAACTGGTCTTCCAGCCTGTACTGTGAGAGCTCTTCAAATGGTTCAGAACGCAGCGGCGCGTCTGGTCTTTAATCAGCCTAAAAGAACACATGTCACCCCTCTTTTCACTGAGCTCCAATGGCTCCAATGGCTCCAATGGCTACCGCTAGCTGCACGCATCAAATTCAAACAGCTAGCACTAGCATACAAAGTCCTGGATGGTACGGCTCCCATCTAACTGAATCCTTTTGCACGGCTTACGTCATGGCTCGGCCGCTCCGGTCGTCAAAGGATCATAGACTAGCAGTGCCTACACCACACTCAGGACAATCCAGACTCTTTTTATGTGTCGTTCCACAGATGTGGAATGACCTACCAAGCACTACTAGAACAGGGGTTTCCTTGTCGATTTTCAAGAAAGTCCTGAAGACCCAGCTCTACTTAGAGCATCTGCTAAATTAGCACCCTCCCAGCACCTGTCCCTCACTCTACTGCACACTCCACAGAGTTTCCCTTACATAGGGTCAGGCGTGGCACTGCACCACGGCTGAAATTTCAGCGCCACACCTACGAGATCCCACACACACATACATACGCAAGGAAGGGAAGCGCTCCGAGCGCAACGGCCACCTCCCCCCTCTCTCACTGACAACGCACGGCGGCGAAAGAAAAGAGTGCGTGCTCGCACCACCCCTGCTCTCATGGACAACGTACGGCAGTGAAACGGTCCGCACCACGGCTGGGAACATTTCTAGGGGAACACTGCTCCATGTTCTCTTCCCTCTATGATTGATTATGCTGCCTCACTGCCACCTAGGACTGACTGAATAGTGTTTTTTGTTAACGTCAAGGGCAACCTGCTGGCTTGATTATCACCTGTAAGTCACTTTGGACAAAAGTGTCTAAATTACTAAATACATAAACAAAAACAAAAAGAACCACAGGCTTTACTGTACTGGCATTAAACACAGATTCTCTAGTTTTTTTTTCTCATCTTATTTCAGTTAGGAAATTATAAGTTTTTTTTTTAAATTTCACAGCAACAAAATTAATTCATAGTAAAAAAAAAGAAATTTACAGGGATGCACAATAACTAACGTTTAAACAGGAAGATGCTACCACTGTAAATTTATCCAGGACAAAATGAAGATTGTTGATGAGAGAGATAGTTTTCAAAAAGCACTGAAATTCAGTCGGTCTTGATAAAATGCAAATGTGAGGCTTAGCAAATCCAGCAACAATAAGATTAACTCTAACTGCGTGATTCACACAGATTTATTATTCACTGAAGGTTCCACTGATACGCTCCGGAGCTTCAGATTTCAGGTCTGAACCACACTGCTGCAGCCCCGGCTTAGCTGAACCACACATCCGACACCCTCCCTTCAACTATGTGTGTTCTCCCTGCAGTCACCATGGTAACACTTACTTCCCCAGTGTCGTCATGGGAACACAGCCTGGGATTATTCATTTTGTGACCACACACACAGACCCAGAAGTAAGCAGGCGTGCAGTTGGGGTGTATGTGGGATGTACATACATGTTCATGAACACTTTTCAAAAAAAGCTGATACACACACACACGTAACACTGACAGGTTACACAACAAGGTAGTTGCATGTAGGAAAGGTGATGACGGGTGTGTGTGATTCTGTCAGAGTGAATAAGTGAAAGGGTTGTGTGTGTGTGTGTGTGTGTGTGTGTGTGTGTGTGTGTGTGTGTGTGTGTGTGTGTGTCCACGGGGGGGACAAAGGTTAGTTGGTTATAACAGAAACACATACGGGACCTACAGGTGTGTGTGTGTGTGTGTGTGTGTGTGTGTGTGTGTGTGTGTGTGTCCACGGGGGGGACAAAGGTTAGTTGGTTATAACAGAAACACATACGGGACCTACAGGTGTGTGTGTGTGTGTGTCCATATTGCTGATGACAGTAGGATGTGATAAGGTTAGCAGATTAGCTCAGCAGGATGAATGGCAGTAAGTGGATTACATAACACTGCTGTTACCTGCATTAGTTATTCATCGCATCAGCAAAACTGCTCATAGTCTTGCTTCAGTGTGTGTGTGTGTGTGTGTGTGTTACCTGAATAAGAGTGCGTAGTGACTCCACGTATGACTGCTCTGTGTCCAGGAGGGTCATCATCACATGTCTCCTCATGTCCTGTAGAAGGAAACGGTAACAGAATAATTCACAACATGTTTTTGTGTTTATGATTTTCAATACTTAAGAGTGGATCACGGATCTTGGAAATATTTGCTACCACTGGATACTGCCAAAAGTAAAATTAATTAAAATGCAATCAAAATTATTAAAAATAAATGAATAAAATTAAACATAAATTTAATTTGCATTTTAGAAAATAAATGGTGAAAAAATCCTAAAGGCCACACATAATGTAACAAACTGACAGTGTACACGGTTAATCAGTGAAATTTTACTAAGTGGGATGATCACTTTTAAGCATCCCGGACACTCATTAAAGATTTTGCAGGGAATAAAAACTAATCGTAAATATTTCTGTTAGTCTGCTGAGGTAAATATTGACAGATTTATTTCAACTTTAAAATTAACAGATTACCTTTGTTATTAACATGCATTAAACAAATGAACCGACTGGAAATAAATATACTTTTGCTTATTGTCTTTGAATTGCAGAGATTCAGATCTACTTATAGAAAAGGACCGAGCTCAGAAGTGGTTGATATTTTTCTTATAATGATGTAAGAAGCAGATTGTCAAATTATGAAAATTAAGAGGAAAACATAATCTGAATGTTTTTCCCCTTTGCTGAAGACATGACACAGCTGTTTACCTCAACAATGACTCAATGTGTGGATACAAACAAATAAAATACTCAAACACTCTGATGTGGTGAAAGGGAATAAGAAAAAAGAAAGTAAAAGATTAGAAAAGCTTGTTAAGAATGACAACAAAATATTAAAATCAGGGGTGGGAATATAACGTGTTGATTAAAAAACAATAACGCATAAAAAGTTATCTTTTTGAGCCTGGTTTGCATCATAACTTATGCCGTATTTATCAAGATATATCATCAAGCTGCACCTCTAACAAAACAGCAGAGCCTGGGCTACAAGACCATATAAACCTTTTTCAGTTGCTCCAAACACAACTAAAACTTAAATGAACCATGACTACTTGCTCATCACAAAGAAAAGGGGAAAAAAAGATAAACTTTTTTTACTGTTACATTTTTTACAACGCAGGCAGGCAGCATCTTTATCCATGTGAACTTTATTACAGCAGAAGGGACGAGCATACATGCACAGTTCATCTTGTAACTCGTAGCAGAACTTCCCCTGAATTCTACACTACACCTCTATATATGCATGGGCTGCATGGTGGCGCAGTGGTTAGCACTGTTGCCTCGCAGCACGAAGGTTGCAGGTTCGAAACTCGGCTCGGCTGCGGCCTTTCTGCGTGGAGTTGCGTGTTCTCCCATGCATGCGTGGGTTTCCTCCGAGTACTCCGGTTTCCCCCACAGATCACAACATGTCCTATAGGTTTGAAATTGTAAGTCACTTTGGATAAAAGTGTCTGCCAAATGAATAAACATATATGATAGCAGTGCTCTGCTGCCACATAGTGTTCAGTTCAGTACACATTTATAATGTTCCATGAACATTTACACTTCATCAGTAATACATTTGAAAGCAGTGCTGTAAGGCTGAGCGGGCATGTGGGAGCCTTAGGTCATTTATAAGTGGTCAGAACATGACATATTTTCCTGGTGGCAGGGGTATTAATCAAGATTAAATAACTATAACGCCTCTAATTAATTAGACAGTTTTTAAATTCAAGTCCCACCCTAATTGTTTTCACACAAAATCACTGAGAACCATTTCTCCCTAAATAATAGTTTTATTTTCTGCCTTTGGCTGCAATAAATCTGAAGTTAAGTCCGTTATTTTAACTCCCGTTAAGTTGATCTTATTACTTTTCACGAGCTATGTTAGGGCATGTTTGTGTTTTTGTGCCTGAAGGGGGGAGAAGGGAGAGCAACAGGAAGAGACTAGAGATCATGGAACAAGTCAGATGTATTATCCTGGGGGGGGGGGGGGGGGGGGGGGGGGGGGGGTCTCAGGGGAGCTTCCTAAAATATTCTGGTACCAAGCAGGACATAAATGTCAGAGGGAGCCATAAGCTAAACCCTGTGGTGCACATATAACCACAGCATCTTCTTACACACACAAACATAATGAAACCACACAGAAAACACACAGGTCCAACCCCCCTCGCCAGCTCTACTCTGCCAGCAGCACTGTGCCCTATAAATAACCTTAACAATAACTTCCCAGAAAGGACATGTTTAGTGTTCGGCATCTGAGGAGACCCCAGGGGTGCTGCGGGTACTGCCAGAGGGCCAAAGGTGGTGTGTGGATGGGAAGAAAGTGTGTATTGTCGTGGGTGAACGAGGGAGGGAGACTGCCAAACCTCTACTTTATAACAGGGAAACACAGTGCTAAAAAATGTAGAAAATTATATTTTTGTTGAAAAAGCTATATAAAGGTGACTCGTGTATTTTTGTTACATAATGTGTGTTTAGCTCGATGCTCCTTCATAAAGAGAAACGTTCTGTTCAAGTCTACACAAGCTTGATGTCCAAATACAAACTCAACAGAGAATAACAACAGGGTTAAACAAGGCAACGCAAACAATACACAACAATTATCTATTTATACGATCTAATTACCTTTCAAATGAGAACTTAGTCTAAATACTTCAGTTTCTTAGGACGCAGAGGTACTGGGTGTCCCGCTAAATTTATGATAAACAACCTGAGAGTTTTCATTTTTATTTAGATAATAACATTTACTGTTTATCTACAGTCAGGAAAAGGATGCCGTTTTCTCAGATATTTGACATTTCATGCTTTCTCTGCTACAATGTGTGGCTGTCCTTTTACTCTCTCATTTTAATAAGTTTGTTAAACAAAGATCAACAAAATACAATCTACAAATGTTTACTAAGGAAAGCAGAGGTTTTTGTCTCAAACAGTGGTGGCCCCAGAAATCTGTCATGTGGGGCCAGTGGAAATTTTGGGGAGGCCCCATTGGTAACTCAGAGACCTTAGCCTGTAGCTGAACTTGAATCCTCCTTTAATCTTTTTCATAAAAATAACAATAGGCCTATGGATCCAACACATTTACCTCAAATATGAGATACACAAATAAAAAATATGACAAACGTTCAAGCAAATATTTTTGTTATTGTTTCAATTTTGTATAGAATTTTAAAACTGATTAATTTGCTTGTTGCTGTTTTAAAAAAACTTTAGAGATTTTGCCTTTTTTAAATGGTTAGCTTCAGAGGCATAACATGTAATTTAATACATTTTAAAATATATTTATTTATTGTCATCCACAATTATGTCTAAATTTATGAAAATTAGTATACAGTTTTTGTGAACATAAATGTGATTTATTAAGGAGAGTGAGGGAGTTGTCTTCAACACAGGGGCCAGTGGGGTGGCCTACAATTTTCCAGGGGTGGCCATGACCTCTTCAGGCCACCCATTGTTGGCGCCACTGCCTACAAATAATGGATTTAGTTCTTTATGAGAGTGATTGCACAAATGCAAGCCTAATTATAATGTCAGATGTTTAAGTGGAGCTGATTTACATGACAAACGTGTAACGCCCATTTCAATTCAATTCAAATTCAATTAAAAAATACTTTATTAATCCCAGAGGGAAATTGATTGCTGTAGTAGCTCAGAATAATAATAATAATCAAGTCATCAAAGAGTTTTGTATATTACAATGGCTGTTGGCAGGAAGGATCTCCAGTAGCGGTCAGTGTTGCAGTGAAACTGAAGAAGCCTCTGACTGAAGACACTCTTCTGTTGTCGGACAGTCTTGTGAAGAGAATGCTCAGGGTTGTCCATAATTTTCTTGATTCTCTGGAGAATCCTTCTTTGCATTATCTCCTCCAGTGGTTCCACAGTCGTCCCCAGAACAGAACCAGCCTTTTTTATTAGGCTGTTGAGCCTTTTCAGGTCCCTGCTTCTGATGCTACTACCCCAACAGACGATGGCTGAAGAGATTACACTCTCAACAACAGACTTGTAGAAGATCTGCAGCATCTTGCTACAGACATTGAAGGACCTAAGCGTCCTCAAGAAGTGCAGTCTGCTGTGTCCCTTCTTGTAAACAGCTTGGCTGTTCTTTCTCCAGTCCAGTCTGTTGTCCAGGTGAACTCCAAGGTATTTGTGTTCCTCAACCACCTCCACTTCTTCTCCCATGATGGAAACAGTGTTTGACTCCACCCAGTTTCTTCTGAAGTCTAAAATCATCTCCTTTGTTTTGTTCACGTTCAAGGTCAGATGATTGTTTCCACACCATGCCACAAAGTGCTCCACCAGCTCCACCAGCTGGAAGTCTGAGGTGTACAGGGTGAAAAGGAATGGTGAGAGTACAGCCCCCTGTGGTGCTCCAATGTTACTGATCGCCTGGTTTGATGTGCAGTTCTTCAGCCTCACAAACTGTGGTCTGTTTGTCAGGTAGTCTTTAATCCAGGCGATAGTTGAGGCCCCCACCTGTGTCTTCTGGAGTTTCTGGCAAAGTACATCAGGCTGGATTGTGTTAAATGCACTGGAGAAATCAAAGAACATGACCCTGACAGTGCTGCCTGCTTTGTCCAGATGACAGTGGATTGGTTGAAGCAGCTGGATGATGGCATCTTCAACTCCAACTCCATGGCGATAAGCAAACTGCAGCAGGTCCTGATATATTTTAGTTTGCTTATTCAGGTGGACCAACAGGAGTCTCTCCAGGACCTTCATGATGTGGGACGTCAGGGCAACTGGTCTGTAGTCGTCATTGACTGATGGGTGAGTTTTCTTTGGAACTGGAACAAGGCAGGATGTCTTCCACAGGACTGGAACCTTCTCCTGGGCCAGACTGAGGTTGAAGAGGTGCTGCAGAATCACACAAAGCTGCTCTGCACAGGCCTTCAGTAATCTGGGGCTGACACCATCCGGACCTGCAGCCTTGTTCCTGTTCAGTCTGTCCAGCTGCCTCTTCACCTGACTTCTAGAGACAGATAGGTGGGAGGGGGAGGTAAATGGGGCAGCAGCATCTCCTGACTTGTTTGTAACTGTTTTAGATTTTCTTCGGGCATCAGTATTCATGCAGTAACCC